AACTTAAAACAATAAAATCAAAGGTGACGGTTTTATTACCTCTCAATATAGGAAACTGCCTCCTGTAGCATGAGACGCGCGGTTCTTTCCAAAACCATGGGCTGCTCAGTGACGTCATGGTTTCTCATCAGGATACAGTTCCAACGACGCACAAACCCGAAGCTGGCATACCAGGAGGCAAAAAAGAGGAAGACGAGGCTGGCCGCACCCAGGACCGCTTTCCAGGGCACGGAGATTAACCCCCAAATCTTGCCAAGAGCAACGGTCAGCACTCCGAATGCCGCCACCTGGGTGTAAAACCACAGCCTCGCTCTCGTGCTGGCGTCCACTTCCGGGGGCCTGCCTGGGTCACAGTCATTCACAAGCGTGAAAGGCATGCCATAGAAATAGTCAAATCCGTGGTTCAGTGGGTGGTGGCAGTGGTCATCGCGGGATTCACAATTTACGCCCTGGTGCCATTTCCCTGAAAATGAGAGCAGGGCGTTAGAGAAGAACATACAAATAAGGTGCTCTGTCTGATACGAATCACCTTCTCAATCATGTGGATGTTCTGATGAAAAAAGATGGTATGCAACCAGCAAAACTTGAACGAGAAAAGCAACATAATAGGAGTGCCTGGGTGGCTCAGTCGGTTAAGTGTCCGACTTTGGCTCAGGTCACGATCTCATGGTTCGTGGGTTTGAGCCCCACGTTGGGCTCTGTGCTGACAGCTCGGAGCCTGGAACCAGCTTCGGATTCTATGTCTCCCTCTCTCTCTGACCCTCCCCTACTCGTGCTCTGTCTCTGTCTCTCTCTCTTTCTCAAAAATAAACATTAAAGAAAATTTTTTTAAAGAAAGGAACACAATAGAAATTCAAAATAGAAAGGGATGAAATGAATTCATTCATATTGGGGTATTTTTAAATGGGTGTGTTACACTTTGCAAACAGTAATGAACATTACAAATACTCATGACAGTTATCAAGAGATTAAAGGTTTAAGATTTTCTGGACTGTGTGTAATCATAAGTTTGTCACCCTAGACTATCCTATTAAATAACTCACATAATATCATTTACTGCTATTTCTTACTTAAAAGACAGCCACTTGATAACAGGAGTTGGTTCTTGCAAAATCTCAAGACCGAGTAGAAGTAACCATCTCACTCCACCAACTAGTAAGCAAGAAATGCTTATAATAGATTTTTTCCCAAAGGCAAGAACTTTTGACAACAATATCATTGAGATGGAACGTGAGTAAGCCCGTATATCAAATTCCAGCAGGATGTGCAAGAGTTGGGTTCTCTATGGGCACTTTTTAAAAAAAAAAATGTTTAACATTTATTCATTTTGAGAGACAGAGGGAAACAGAGCATGAGCGGGGGAGGGGCAGAGAGAGAGGGAGACAATCCAAAGTAGGCTCCAGGCTCTGAGCTGTCAGCACAGAGCCCGACGTGGGGCTCAAACTCACGAACCACGAGATCATGACCTAAGCCGAAGTCAGACGCTTAGCCGACTGAGCCACCCAGGCTCCCGTCTATGGGCACTTTCTATTTCATTTACTCCAGACCTTCAACCACCTTAAATTTAGCTACAAAACAGGATAGAAAAGGCTCCAAAGTACTATTTGCCATAATTTCCAAGTGCACAGGGTACACCGGGTCCTTGCCCTGTTGCTCCCTCCCGCGACTCACAAAGTGTCTTCAGAACCTATAGGAATTGGTTCTAACTCCAAGCCCGGGTATCTTCCTTTATTCCCCTGCTTTCATTTAAGGCAGCAAAAAAGTTCGAACAGGGTGAGGGTGGTGGAGACGAAGAGTGTCCAGGAGGGTCTCCACCTCTCATGCTGTCAAGAACAGCCTTCTCTAAATATAGATGGCACGTGTGCACCAGAAGAAGAGGCACAGAAGGAACCGGTACCCAGGTCTGCAATTCTAGTCAATGCAAAATAAGTCTACTTTTCCAGTTCTGGGGTCAGGGACACTGATCCAATGGTGGTGAGTTGCTAATGGAAAGTTCTAGTCAATTTGGGTGGCTAAGAAGTTTTGCTCCATTTCTTGGGAGTGAAAAGAGAAAGGTGATAGTGTGGATGTGCAACGAGTCCTTGAAAATGTCCCCGAAGATGTGATATGCTATGTTCTGAATGTCTGTGTCACCCCCAGATTGCTATGTGGAGACCAGAAAAGTCATGGGTGCCGGGAAGCAGGTGCCTATGAGAACAGCCCTGAATATAGAACCTGGGGATGGAGGAAAGAGGGCCACCTCCCAAGAGATTGAGTGAAAAACTGCCTGTCAATAACAGAAGTTCCAACACTGTGACAAACCCAAGAGAGATCAGAAGGGTCCAGCCCCCGATTTTGGTTCTGACACACGACTTTTTTTTTCCGCCTTGTAGGGAAACAGGTTCTCTTGATGGTTGGTCTTCCTGTTCACTAACGATATGAGTACCTATGAGGCCGGTTGCATAACCTTGTTGCTGCAGGATTCTTGCAAACGTGGTTTCATTCTCGGGGAGTCCACCCGATCCCCCGTTCCACTGGAGGGCGCGGTACCCATCATGGGCTTCCATGCCTGTGGAACAGAGCAGACAGCAAGTGCTCACTCTCCCTTGACTACAGCAGGGCTTCTCACCTGGGGAGGAGCCTGGCCCACACCAGTGGACTCGTCGCCGTGCCTGGGCTTGGCCTGGGTGTCACAATTGTGGGAGGGGTGATACTGGCCTCTGGTGGGTGGAAAATACCCTATGGTGCCCAGGACGCCCCCACCACAGAGAATTATCTTGCCCCAAACTCAGCAGTCCTGAGATTGAGAAACCCTGCCTTACCGTGAGAGATTCTGTTTATCTATCTATCCATCATCTGTCTGTGTATCTATCCACCATTTATCTATCCATCCATCCTATCTATCTATCTATCTATCTATCCACCCATCTATCATCTATCTGTGTATCTATCCATCACTTATCCATCCATCATATCTATCTATCTATCTATCTATCTATCTATCTATCTATCATCTATTCACCCATCCTTCCATCCATCCATTCATCTATCTGTTTCTGCCATCTGTCAATCCATCTATCTACTCATCCATGCATCTGTCCATCTGTCTGTCTGTATCATCTATCTACCTTACTCTCCATCTATCAATCTATTAATTTACTATCTATCTATCTGTCTATCCATCCATCCATCATATCTATCTATCTATCTATCTATCT